AAAAAAGTGAAAAAATTTCAAAAGCCAGTCCACCAAATACACATTTCTTCTATGTGCGCTGCATATGTGACAGAACGTGAGCATGAGAGAGAGAGAAAAGCACGGGGAGCTGCAGTGTGGGTGTATCGCTGAATAATCTATTTGGAGCGACTAAATCATCTCTGTGAAATTCTGTCACTGCAAGATGCTGCATGCAGCATCACTTAAATAAAATGTATATCAAAAGACAGGCTCAAACACACACAGCACTCTGACTCTTCACTCTCTGTGTATCACGCCTGCTTAAATGGTTGCCTGAAGCGTTCAGTGAAACTTGTTAAAGCACCAGCTGCTCCTTCTAATATCACATGCAAACAGTTGCAACGCATGCACGCTGACATTCTCATTGAACATTCTCACTGAACGTTTCCATGGACGATGACATGATTCAAAACTGCAAAAAAATGCCAATAGCATCTGCTGTGTTTATTTGTGTCGGTAGTGATTATGTGTGAGGTGCATGACGGCATTTTTTTCTGCATTTTCCAGTTGTTCAAAGTGCACGGCGAAATGCTAATTCTGGAAACTGCACCGGGACAGGCCTGTGTTGCTCTCACACTGTTACCCTTCTGATTCTGACAGTGTGACAGCTGCAACAGAGCTTTAGGACTCAAAGAGCAAGTGCAGAAGTGTGCGTGTGTGTGGACATGGATACAAATAAAAGCTTGAACTTTGATGTTTCATTGTCTATGCCGGTTCTATTCTTATGAATTTACTGAGAGAGAGCAGAAAGGCTGGAGGACTGAGAGGTGGTAACTAGTTTATCTGTCTAGTAAGTGATCTCTGGGGGGGAAAACAGTTTGTCTTCATTTTGTTTCAACTTTCCGCTTTCTTTTTTGCTCTTTTCCTTTTTGTATGTTGCTGTCATTCTGGCAGACTGCAAGAAGAGATTCACCAGAAGGAAGAAGCTGAGAACAACCTGTCTGCTTTCAGATCTGTAAGTCTTCTATTTCCTTAAATCACTCATCTATAGCTCAGTCATTTTCTCTTCAGTCCAAAACAGAGAAACTTTGTCTCCTTTGGTTGATCAGTCATTTTTCTCCTTTAATTTTCTTCTTATTTTAACATTTTTTTTAAATGTGCTGGTTATTGGTCATTTTCTTTTTTGCCATTCTCTCCTCTTATCTAGGATGTGGACAGTGCCACTCTCGCTAGGCTGGACCTGGAGAGACGTATTGAGAGTCTGCAAGAAGAGATTGCCTTCCTCAAGAAGATTCATGAAGAGGTTTGCTGATTTACCAGCTTTGGTTGGTTGGCTTCACACAATTAGGCGGTGGGAGGGTTGCGTCTGGAATGGCATCTGGCATAAAATCCGATCCATTCGCTGTAGCAACCACTTGGGAAATAAGAGAGCAGTAAAAACTACCCATCCTCTCTATATCTATTATGTGTGTCACTAGGATGGTGTATAGTGTATCATATAACACCTGTGTGTGTTACTATACTGTGCTGTGATATTAGATCTGAGTCTCCACAGGCATGCAGCTCTTCATGAGATCAAAGATATCATACTTAAACCCACCTAAAGAGAACTACTGATGTTAAAGCACAGATAGCGTTCCCATCTACGTAGATTCATGTCTGTAGGAAAATTTAACAATTATTTAACTATTACAGGGCAACAGAAAGATCTAACCTTATTCACTTACAGATATCAAATGATATTCTGAGCCACACACTCAGACACATGTCTGCACAGCTGAAGTCCCTTCTTTTCATTTTGTCTTCTTTGCTTGAACTTTGACCTGCCAGAAATGCCAAAGTGCTGATTGGTCAAAAGACTATGTCAGCTGTTGTGTGACAGAGAAAAAGAGGGTGTGCCTGTGAACAGATGCAAAGCTATTCATAACTTTCAGTTAGATCAGACAGCAACTGAGTGCAATCCAGGCTGGCTAATTAAAAAAAAAAAAAAAGCCTGTTGCTAACAGAATGCATCAGTCAACAGCTGGGTGAATTTGTAATTTGACATATTAGATTTCGATATGTAAATATTCTGATCTGACGTGTTATTGCATGTTGAATTATTTTTAACTTGTCAACTGAAGTAGCAGGTATCGTTTTAATGTCCCGGTAGCTACTCACATGTTTTGACACGAGCGGATTTTGACTTTTTCTGGACTCCTTGCAGGAAATCCGTGAGCTGCAGAGCCAGATTCAGGACACTCAGGTGCAGATCCAGATGGATATGTCTAAGCCCGACCTCACTGCTGCTCTGAGGGACATCCGCATGCAGTACGAAGCCATTGCTGCCAAAAACATTGCAGAGGCTGAAGAATGGTACAAGTCTAAGGTAGAGTGGAGGCATGCACACGTAAAATGCAGATAGTGGTTCTTAGCTGTTGTACTGTTAATCCTCCTGTCCTCTGTCTTCAGGTGTCTGATCTGAACCAGGCCGTGAACAAGAACAATGATGCACTGCGTCAGGCCAAGCAGGAAACCATGGAATTCAGACACCAGATCCAGTCCTACACTTGCGAGATTGACTCACTGAAGGGCACTGTGAGTATTTGTAGCACCTTTTCTCACTTTATTGTTTTGCTTCTTATTTTACATTTCTTCTTTCTGATTGATATCATCTTTACATTTCCTTGATAACCATATTTTCAGCCATAAACAGCCTTAAACTTCTGTTTCTGTTAGGTGCGTTTACTCTCTTTCATGCTTCTTATCCCTTCTTTTCAAGGACTTCATGTCTCTGTTTCTTTGCAGAATGAGTCTCTGCTGCGCCAGATGAGAGACATGGAGGATCGCATGGCCCGCGAGGCTACTGGTTACCAAGATACCATTGCACGGCTCGAGGAAGATATTGCTAAGATGAAAGTAATACGCTTAGATATGTCATGTTGATCTTTTGCATTTTACACTGGGTAATAGATGTAGCAGGATTTTGTGTTTGGTAAGAACTATATTTTAAGCACTTCTTACACACTGATTTCAAGGATGATATGGCCCGCCACCTGAGGGAGTACCAGGACCTCCTCAATGTGAAGATGGCCCTTGATATTGAAATTGCCACCTACCGCAAGCTGCTGGAAGGAGAGGAGAGCAGGTGTGTTTCTGTTCTAAAACTACCTTAATTTTTTGTGGTTTTGCATTTATGTCATACTCATTACTGATTTGTTATGCTCCTCTTTCTGTAGAATCACTACCACCATACCTGTCCAGTCTGCTTATTCTTCCATTGGATTCAGAGGTATGAGAAGTTGCACCCTTTGTTCCTGTCACGAATAAATACAGTTAAAATCTATTGGGCATGAGTCAATAAGGGGGGATGATAAAAGGTCTAATTATAGGCTGTGACTGTATATGGTAGCTGGTATTTTAAGGGCATTACATATAGTGTCTTTGCAGTGACACATTCTGACCACTGTGTGGGGATATATGACTAAAACCTTCATGCCTCTGTGGTTCAGGGAGGCAAGAATTAACCTTCATTAATAATCATATGACTTACCCTCTTCATGTAATAGATTAACAGTAAGAAGGTGCAATTAGTCTCTGTTAGTACCTCCCATCTGAGCCCAGCTTAAAGTTAACACAAGGATGTTGTGTGGATGTTCCATTAATGTTACAGCCATGTGAAAGCTCATTAAACTTCTAAGTGCAATGCTTAACTAATATCAGTGACTAAATTATCTCAGTGTAGCTGCAGAAAGAATTAAAGCAGTTTATGAAAGAGCCGCATGTGTGAATTTGTTCCTACAGAGACCAGTCCTGAGTCCCAGCATCAGCGCTCATCAGAGGTTCACTCCAAGAAGACTGTTGTCATCAAGACCATTGAGACCCGCGATGGAGAGGTTTGAGCTCACACGTACACGCATACACACAAATATACACTTTTATGCACAAAAATGTCCATGTTGAGGTATCCTAATAAACTACAAAAGCGCTAGTAAACTATAACTTGTATTTTTTTTCAACCAAACCATTCTGATTTACTATATTCTCATCCAGATTAAATATTCTATGAGCCAAAGTGCTAATGCCTCATGTGTAAGTCTGGTTTCAGTATCACACCTGCCTTTTGATTGTCTGCTCACATCAGCGGGTTGAAACAAGCTACCAGATTTAATAAGAATAATTTCCTTCTTGCATTTGTCAATCACAGCCACTACATTTTCATAACTGTCTACACATACAAGTGTGGCAGCATAGTAGCAAAGCTCTGTTTTAGTTTCTATTCTCTTTGTTATCCCTGAAATCTTGTAGTTTGAATCAATCTGGGTACAGACACTTTCATGAAAGTTACAGTACCGGCTTCCCTGAGCAAGCACCTTCACTGTCAGCGCTCCAGTTGGTCCCAGCACAGTCCTTCACCTTAAGCATAACACCTGCACTGAATGTTAAGCTTAAGTAGAACTTTATTGTCAGACTAGCACGGCAGATGGGGTGTTTTCTCACACCGTTTATGCAGACACTGTGCATAGCGAAAATAGACTCTTTCCCTTTTGTATCAATTTACAGTGTCCCCTTTTTTTCCTTTCACAGGTTGTCAGTGAGTCGACACAGCACCAGCAAGACATCATGTAAACAAGAAGAAACAACGTCACCAATAATGAAATCTTTTCCTATTAGAATTACAATGATTAATAAGCTGTGCCTACTTTTAGATACAAAATGCTGACCATTTTATGTAACCAGTCATGGAAGTGAAATTTAACCACTGTACATCCATACATAAATTACTTTAAGCGTCACAGGAAAGACGCAGTGTAGAGGCACAATGCCTTCAGCCTTGTTTTAAATGAAGGGCATTCCAGGATGTTTTTCTTTATTTGTGTTACTTTTCGCTGCAAACAAAAGTATCTTGCATCTATCTTGTCTGCAAAAATATTTTAGTGGTAAGAGTAATGTTTCAAATGAATACAGCTCGTACTGCCGAATTATCCCATCATCCGCTGTAAGAATCAATGGCAGATAAATTTCACTGTGTGTATTTCAGGATTTTTACATGTGTATGCACATCGATTGATTAAGATAGGCTATCTCTGTAACGGATTCAAGGAAAGTGAGATGTTGGTTTGAAAAGGGAGCTCAGTTGTGTTTTGACCTTTGAGCTCTCCAGCATGTGCTACGTGTCTGATGGTATGTGTATGAGTAACCATGGTATCCTCCTTCGCTCTGACAAAAACTCAAATAAAAGATTTCACTTGCTGGGCAGAAAGTTTATTCAAATTCTGTAACTCATATCTCTAGGCATTAGCATTCCTCAGACAGCATGCGTGCATTTTCATCCAAATCTTTATGAACTTTCTCTTCCTACTGCATGCATCAACTGATGTGGCCCGTTTTAGCTTTCCAAAAGATACTAGCTCCCCCAGCCAAGCGTAACACTCTTCTATCAACATTTAATTTTCTTCTATACACAAAACACGAGTTGTGGCTTTCTTGAATTTATCAGTAACCAGTCTGATCTTGGTGCAGGGAAAACGAAACAAGGGCACATTAACGAGCGGCCCTTTGTCATTCTTGGTCTCCAGCAGAAAGCAGATTAAGAGAGCAACAAGAATTACAGTCTGTGCAGTTTGTTTCTAAAGCCACTGGACTGAAAATGTCATCAGAGATAAAAAGAAAAAATTGTTAGGGTGGAGGAGAGAAAAAGGAAACACAGAAACAATAAATGAGCCTGCAAGAAAGAGCAAGACGGGAAGAAATGAAAAACAGAGGATGAGAGAAATGTAATGAAAAGGTTATTCTGAGACAGAGACACGGGGGAAGATCTAGAAAGATATAATTACGCTGAATAACATAAAGAAGCAAGTATGTGACTGCTACTCCAGTAATTAGTGGAGCCATGACGGTGTGCTTTCATCACTGAATCAACAGAAAGGGCAAACTGCTCCTGTGTTCTTTTCCCTCAAAATAAAGTTTCCTCACTTCTGTGAACTCTCCTCTTTTTTACTAGGAAGGAAAAAGCTTCAAGCATTGCTGCACTTCTTATTTCTTGATTAGTTTTGCAGTTGTATTTGTCGTTACATAACTGCTGCAGTTTGTAATGAAGCTACACTGCTAATGTAGCCTGACACCTATACTGTCAGTGCAGATAAGAATGCAACTGACTGGAAATCCAGATGCTTGTTTTTTTCCCCTCATCATTTATGTTAATGATTCTTAAGCAGCTCTTTATCACAGCCAAAACCTGCAGAGTAAAAATGTTATTTTGAAGCTGATATTTGGGTGTTTAAGAAATACTTTTTCTTTTTACTTTGCACACTTTGTCCTCTCTAAAAGACTTGAGCCATCCTGCTCATCTTCACATTTTGCTTCCAAGGAGCAAGACTTTCTCGCAATTTCTTTCAAAGACCTTAAAAATGTCTTTTTGAAGGTCTTGCAAAGTTTTGGCTTTTTGCACTCATCTTCAGGGCAGTTCCTGTACACGACCGTTATCAGAGCAATGCAGCTTTTTTGTTTTGTTTGTATGTTTGTTAAGCCAAATAACATTGACCAATGAATTATGCAAATATTTTAAAAAAAGGAATTTAACTGAAAGGATGAACCATTGTTGTGGCTACTTTGTTACTTGTAGCCTGTTGCAAAAAACATATACTTTGTTATTTTTGAATAACAAAGTATATGTTTAAATGAATGAATATATGAAAGAAGAAACTGAAGATAACACAGTTTAACAGGCATAATACAGTATTTTTACACCAGCAAGGTGATTCTTTAAATGCATATCTCAGCATGATGTGGAGTGTGTCCTCAAAAAAAAAGGACAAAAGAAGTGTCAGGTCGTAACAATCTACAGCAGATAAACAGTGTCTGAAAGTCACGTCCTTGTCAAGAAGCTATTCTTTAGAAAGAGGAAAAGGGAAAGAAGGGTGAGGTGTTGCAAATTACACAAAAACCAAATACAGCAAAGGCCAAAGCAGAAATCTGGGGAAATAATCTTGAAGACTATTTCAAAATATGACAAAAAAGCTTGACTAAGACAGGTCAGGCTGAGCTGAAGAATAAAAGTAATCAAATGTGGACTTTCAAGCTCATTAGAATTGCACAAACTCTGTTTTCTGACCCATTTTCCTAGCAACATATAATAGTGAGTGGTGGGTTAGTGGGTGGCTCAAGGCTTTTGCACATCACTGCATCATCAATAAATATGAAAAAAATATGTAACAGAATCATCACCTACTGATATCTGTGTACAAGCACCAGTTCTGAAACAGGTAAATATCTGTCGATTTATTCTATGGGACTAATTCTAAACTAAACTTATGTAACGCATGTATTTGTGGGAGTGTCAGAGAGAGAGATTGAACTAAAAAGTATTTGATATTTGTGCTCCAACACTTGTGCACACACAAATGACAATGTAAAGATAACAAGACCACTGAATTATAGAATCACAATGTTTATCATATGTTAGGTCCATAGAAATCCATGCTTAATAACATAATAATAATAATAATAATAATAATAATAATAATAATCAGGTGATTTTTACATATTTAAATTGGATGATACGAAAAGGACGAATCAGAGTCCATTTTCTTTGCTAAATTTGAACATGAAACACTGAAACACCTGAATGAGAAGTGTATCCACCGCTCAGCCAAATCAAAGCAAACTGGACATACAGCAGAATCACAATATAACAGGTCTACTCCAGGAAGTAATAGCCTGCATAAATTACATACATGACTGTGGTGCAAACATGAAAATGGAGCCAAACATTTGTACACTTAAAAATTATTTACAAGTCAATATCTACAATCAAAGGTTTTCTCAACAGAAATGTTATATAATAGGCAATGAAAAAAAAAAAAATTAGGAATAAGAAAAACAACAACATAAAAGAAGAGTTCAGTGAAAGAATTATTCATTTTCGTCCCCAAATTACAAGCAAGAGGAGGGGCAATGTTTAGTTTAGAATTACACTACAATAAAAACACAAAAGCAGATCAAAGCAGGAGTGAAGTATAGGCAGAAAACCAAAAATAACACGTGTACTGCCACAACCGTGAAACAACATTTAATAACAGTAAACAGCAGGTCAGAAGCTGATGTAACAGGCATAATGCATGTGAAAAAGAGGAAAATGCTTCAAATGCCTTTCAAAGCCCTTTACAGACAGAAGAGAACTGGAGATAGAAAGAGAGTTTTTATTTTTACTTACATCGGCCCAGGACCAGAAAACTAAAGTGTAAATGTCAGAGCTGTGACATGACAACAGCACAATCGAAACATATACACAATGATCAACATGCAGTAACGGGCTTTTGATAAAAATCCCTGGTCCTCGGGCCTAAAAGTACTGTAAATTTTGCTGAATCCAGGCACTAACTTACATACCTCAAGTTTTATTTTATAATTTATGTGCAGTGAGATTGTTTTGTTTTCCTAAACCTCAGAAATAAGAATCTATAATAAAACAATAGTTTAAAAAAACAATATTGAGGCAGAATTTTAATAACTTTTTTTTCCTTTCATACTACCAAGTCTTCCATTTGGGGCTTTTTATAGTAATATTCAACCTAGGTAGGAATTGCAACATTGCTAGCAATAGTGTTCATGAACTACAATGTTTTGTTTCCAGAGAGCTTTAATTAAAAAAAAGAAAAAAAAACAAAAAATAAAAACAAAACAACTTTGTCCTTCTGTACTTAAACATCTCGCATTCAGAGTCCTTCTCCTGTCTCAGTGTTTAGTATAACAATATTAATGTAAGGAACTCATTTCAATTTCAAAGTGAGTAACACACAAATGCATGTACACATGAACCGTATGCACACACACATACATAGAAAGGCCAGAAAAAAAAGGTCCAGAAGTAAACATCAGAGGGCGCCACTTGCAGATGCATTTATCTTCACATTCTCTTATCTCAAAAAAAAGATGCTGCCTCTTTTTTTTTAATCACTTAACATTTCACTCAAACATTTTACATTCATACCATTTTTCACCAACTGGTAAAGAAGAGAGAATTTAATGTATGCACAGCATGCTGCGCATCCATTCCAACAAACCCCCCCTCTCCTTGGCCAGTATTTGGTATGTTCCATCAATTGCCACAGGGCTCATGTGTCCACTCACACACACACACACACACACAAATACACTATTTTTTTTAACATTTTTACTGTTGCCTATTATTCTCAGACTTCATTACATCAATCAAATTCCAGAATGATTAATATCGGGCAGCAGCTATTTGTCTTTAACAGAAGCTTTGTAGAAAAGAGCAAAAAGGGACACAAGAGCACTGTTAATAAATAAAATCACATCGCTTACAGAAATGTTTAATGGAGAGAGGAAAGAGGAGCAGACAGATGAGTATCCTGTTCAGGTCTGTAGTTGGAATGGCTGACAATAGAATAGAGGATACAAGGAAAGTGTTGAGATGTAAAAACAGTCTCCTTGAAAATCACAACAGCGCAGGGAATGACACTTAATTGACAACAGAAATAACACAAACATTGTCTTTGGTGTAAACCGTTTAATCCAATTCACACCTAAACTTGTCTCTTTCTGCATGTTGAAGCAGTACAGGCCTTGTGCTGCCACGTTTGAATTTACAAGCTGTCAGTGAAGATAAAATGCAGACTTCATGAATGACCTTTTAAATGAGAAGAGCTCCCTTTGAGTTTCAGTGTTTGCTGTGATTTTTTTTATGTTGCTTTTCAGTCATTTTTCACAGCAGATGCTTCCTTAAGTCAAAATGTTTAATCCTTTAATTACCTTTGGAGTAAAGTGTTCTTTTATTTTAACTTGATGAAAGTCAAGTGATGCAATTTTTTTCTAACATGATGTGGGGCTCCTGTGGAGTGATTTTTTCTTCCCCACTAAAAATGACTTTGTATGGCTTGAACCAACCAGTATAAATCTTCGTATCAAATGTTCAACAGAGACAGTTTAATTAACTGTGCATAAGAGAGTTTCACTTGTTTCCAGTGTTTTCCATGTAAGTACAATTACAGAGAAGCCAAATATAACATATGATGACTCATAATTCTCACACTTTCGACAAAGAAAATCACTGTTTTTAGACATTAAAAGGAAAAAACCGACCAAATAAATACTTCACTGGGTCTGACAGGAGAAAAGCAGTGTGGGTCACACCACCTCTGGAGCACTTTGAGCTCCTGTTGGCTTAATAGGCAGTTGATTGGGTTGGCACGGTTAGGTTAGGTTAGGTTTCTTATCCTTATCAGTGAGTCTTGAAGTAGCCT